ACAGCTTTCAATCCCTAATTGACTGGATCCAAGGTGGGGTGGCAGATGGCAGAGGGGCAACCATTCATGGCAACAGGAGATAGCAAATAAGGGAGAGACAACTCTTTCTGTCCTTGTACTACATGCAGTCTACCTGCCCCAGCATGGATATTGTACTCGCACTTAATCCTAGCCAGAACTATGCCAAAACAATCAGTGGACTGATTTACTAATCACACAGTCTAAATCCCAGAATCGCACACAAAATTCAGCCACCGCTGAAAAAAAGCCCTATCCCTACATAAGGTTTTAAGGAAGACAGCTACCCACAAACCGTAACAGGTTATTTGAGCTCACTTTTTTTGATATAGAAATTTCACTGCTACAGATTTCCCTTTCATTGTATTCTTTAAATTCCAGTATGTTGTATTGGCCTTATCATTTAATTGTGGAAACCATGTGATTTCTTCTTTAATTTCATCAGTGACGTATTGGTTGTTCAAAAGGGTGTTATTTAATTTTCATATTTTATGTAGTTTTCATGGTTTCTTTTGCCATTGATTTATAATTTCATTGCTCTATGGTATAATTTCCTTTGCATTACGTTTGCATTCCTTTGCATTCTTAAGTATGTGATATATTTTGGAGATATCCCACTTGTAGCTGAGAATGTGTACTCTATTGTTACAGGGCTGAATACTGTAGAAATCTACTGTCCATTTGTTCAAAAATTTGGTTCAGTTCTGATATTTATTTGATGATTTTTTTATCAAGTTGATCTGTGGCAGTAGGGTATTAAGGTCCTCCATTATAATTCCATTATGCTTATTTGATTTTTCATGTCCATTAATATTTGTTTTATATTGTTGGATGTGCTGGTGCTTATATGATTGTTATCTCATCTTGGATTGTTCCCTTTATAAGGATGTAGTGACCTTCTTTGTCTGTCTTAATCAGTCTTGGTTTAAAATCCACTTTGTCTTCAAATAGACTAGCTATCTTTGTTTTTTTGATTCCTGTGGAATGGAGTGTTGTTTCCTCTCCTTTGACTTTTAAGTCAGTGAATTTCTTTTTTAATTAAACGTTCATTGAATCCATTTACATTGATGGTTACAACTGGTTTAATTGACATTTGCTTGTGTTATTTTCCATTGTTGGTTCCCTTTGTTCCCTACCTCTATTTGACTACTTGCTTCGCCTGATAGATTCATTCTGTTGGGGTTCATGGAGTTGTAGTCTTCATTCTCTCTTTCTTGGACATTTTGGAGTGCTGGTTTATTGGTAATGATTTTCTTCAAATGTTCTTTATCATGGAAGCCACCTTATTTCTCCACCAAGTTTGAAAGCTGGTTTGCGAGGTGCATCAGTGTGAGCTGGAGGTTGTTTTCTTTTCAGGGTTGAAATACTTCAAGCTCTTCTTGACTTGAGGGTTTGCATTGAGAAGTCTCCTGTGATTCAGATGGATTTTCCTTTATAGGTGATTTGTTTCTTTTCTCTAACAGCTTCAGTATCTGTGTTGAATTTCTGGAATCTTGACTATTACATGCGTGGTGTAGATTTTTTTTCTAAATCATGGCTAATTGAAGTTCTATATGCTTCACTTGTCTATATCTCAAATTCTTTTTCCTTGCTTGGAAAGTTTTCTGCCATTATTCCTGTGAACAGGTTTTTTACGTTGTTTGTACTATCCTGATTTTTTCATTGACTCCAATCATCTTAAGTTATATTCTTCTTTGCATCATCTAGCAGGTGTTAAACTGATTTTTTCATGGTCCGTTGCTATTTTAAAGAAGTCTTGTGGTATTTGCTAACTGCAATCCTGTCTGCTAGATCTTATCATTTGTCTTCACATTGGCTCATTCTACTGTATATACTTTCAGTATAATTTTTGATCCGGATATCTGTTTAAGTCTATTTCATGGATTCTTTGTTTTTCTTTGTTGGGCATTCATGGCTTCCAGCTATTCCTAAGCTTTTCTATTATTTTTGTCTGTATCTGCTCTAGAGCCACTAACCACTTCTTTTTTTATGGTCACTAGTGAGAATTTACTTGTGATTTGATTTTTTTCTAGAACCTCACTCATCTGCTTTGCTACTTCTGCTGTTAACTCTTTAGGGAGTCCAGGTGATTAGCTTTTGAATTGTTCCACCTCATTACCCCCTCAGTTTGCCATTGATAAGCTGGGAGTCTAAGGTTGCATCTTGCTTAAGTGTCTTTTAGTTTTCTGGTTTTTTTTTTTTTAGTTTAATTTTTGGGTTGATGCTTGTGAACTGCAGTTAGCTTGTAATGGCAGGTAGCTTTCTTGCTAGTATTGAAAATCCTTAGAAAATGACTACTTCTCAGAGAGGCCTTCCAGTTTTACCTGGCTTGTGGGTTTTGAGTCTGTTGCAAGATCCTACATCTGAAATTTATTAGGAATGAAAAGTTCATTGGAACTGGCCTGTAGTATTGTTTATGACTCTTAGGCAGTCTCAGTCTTGACATCCAGGAAGAACAACTGATTATAACAGTTGTGTTGCCTTGGCAGTACAATCAGCAATAACAGTAGCATCAAGCATACCTAGAAAATGACAAACTGGTTAATTATTAATTTTCTACCTTTAACTGTATAAACTATATTTGTGGTTATTTAACAAAACGTAAAACAAATCAGAAAATTGCATACAATAAATATACCCTCAGTATGGTGATTTTACCTTCAGAGGAGAAAATTTAAAAGGGTCTAGGGAGAAAAACATAGAAATAGAAGAGATTAGAAGCAAGGCCATAAGACAAAGGAAGATTATGTGAATTTTGGGAAAATGGTGAAAACATCCTCATGTCATGAAAGAGAAGGAAAAATAAAAACAAGAACTGACTAGAACAACAAAAACTAGGAACAGTGTTCATACTCATATAAAAACAAGAGCAAACAAGTAAAAGAGAAAAAAGAATGTCCACTTTGGGGCCTGTTCTCTCCTGTCACTGGTAGACAGAGTAGGCTGGCAGAGCCCAGATCATGTTGATTAATCCCAAAAAGCCAGCTGTAGATTAACAGCAAGGTAGTAGATAATCCCAGCAAGCCTGAACCTTTAGAGCTTCTAAAGTTCAGGGTAGTTTCAGGCTGTAAGGCTGGCACCCAATTTGTTCAGCCTACAACTCTCTTACCTGCTTGAACTCGACTCCCTATCACCTTAAACTCAGCTTCTTGACCTCGTACAGCTTGATCTTGGTTTCGTCTCACTCTGACACAGACACCTACTAGCTGGAGCCAACCCACAGCTGCTCTGAATTCCAAGCTCAGTTGACCCCTCTCCAAGATGGCTACTGGTCAATTGCCATTTCCTGGGGAACATCTGAACCCAGATAACTTGCCAGCCACTGCAGTCTGCTGCAATCACTGCTCCATTCCACTGGTGCATTTCTCTGTGGAGGTCTGGGGTTGCCAGTAGTCACTGTATTTACAGGTTTGAGCCACCCTTCCCACACAGTGAGTCAAGGCTTGGGGAGAAAGTACCACTTGCCAATCCTTCTGAATTAAAGTCTCTCTCTTTACTCTCCCAATGGACTTCAATTCTCACTTCAGATCCATGCTGAGTCCCAGGAACCCACCTTTTCTTCCTCAGGTTGCTATATTCCAGTGTCTAGACACCAAGTCTCGGAGAAGCTATTTCTCTGCTGTTCACCACTCTGCCGTCTTCACAGAAGTCCTGTACAAGTATTAGATTTTGTTTCCTAATTCAAAAATAGCTGCCTTGTAGTCTACAGAATTACTTACTGATTTGTCTTTTTTTTTCATCACTGATTTGAAATGTCATCTTTGTCATGTGACATTTGGCATGATACCTGTATCATTTACCATTTACAACATGCCATTTGTCCATTCTGGACTTGACACAGTCACTTACCTATTAACTGAGTCACTGTCATATTGTAAATTATAGTAGCTTTAAATGTGATATTTTAGTATATGATAGGGCAGGTGTGTCTTCTAATTCTTCATCATCAAAATGAGACAGAAGTTAGAAGAGCTCTAAATATCCATCAATGGGGGAATTATTAAATAAATTACAATGCATGTGTCCAAGTTATATGTTATACTATTCAGCTGGGAAATGGGGCATATATTTATTACTAATAGAGATAATTGTCTATGATATATAATGTGAAAAAGTCATAATACTATGCTTAAAATGATCCAGTTTGTGTAAAAACTGTTAAAAGCTAAAACTTCGGTACATTGCAATTCGTTTGAACAAACACCAACTCATGAATTGGGCAGCTTAAAATGAAGTAATTTAGGGGTTTCTCTGGAGGAGTCTGAGGGGAAGGCTTTTACAGGGTAAATAGAGAAGGAAGAGGAAAGTATGTTTGGTTAAGTGGAGCCAGAAGCCTTCTTTGGGTCATTCCAGTGGGAAATTTATAATTAGGGGTTAATTGGCACTTTATGTACAATCACAAAGGATGGGAAATGACCTTAAGGAGAGCTTCTTTCAAATTGATACCACAGAATTACTACACTGAAAGAAAAAACACCACTGTACTGCCTTTCCCTGCAGTCCACTGCATTCTAAGGGAATCGTGTTCCTGAGCTATGTCACATAGTGGTGCTAGACTAACAATCGAGAAAAATGGCATGGTAACGTTCACTAGCAATCCTATAGAATATGGTTCCAGTAAGTGGTGAAGTACCATACTCAATGACCATATTTAACCCATTAGCCTAATAGCCTGATTAAGATGAGTTTCTAACAAATTAAAAAGTAATTTGTTAGAAACAGACATCGTTAGGGTAGTCGTAAGAATTAAGCTTAATAATATGCAAGGTCACAACCATTCTTTTAGCTTTTGGGAAGATCAGTTGTTACAAGATTTTATTGGTACTTTTATTTTTAAATGCCACAAAGCATTAGTTAAATGATATCTATAAATATCCATAAATTGAATACTGATGGAAGCAAATGAAGAACTGTATAAAACATCATAGGACTTGGGGTTTTCCTTGTGGTCACTCATGGTGGTGTTTGAATCTTTTTCTCAGCTGACTCTAGTAGTGACCCATTCTTCCCCCGGACGACACAGATACTATTGGAATATCAGCTAGGGAGATGGGTGCGACGCCTTCGTGAACCCCGAGATTTATATGGTGTCTCCTCTTCTGGTCCACTGAGCCCAACACGGTGGCCATACCACTGTGAGGTCATTGATGAAAAAGTCCAGCACATTGGTATGTTTTTAGCAGTTTTAAGCATGCAGAAATGAACAAACTCACTTTGTCTACCTTGATTGTAATTGGTAGCCTGATGGTGTTAGAACAGTATATTCCAACAGAAATGTAACGTGACTCATATATGTACTTAAGTTTTCTAGTAGCTACATTTATAAAAGTAAAAAGAAGGGCTGGGGATTTAGCTAGGTAGTATAAGCGCCTTCTTAGCAAGTGCAAGATTTTGAGTTTGATCCCGGTACCCAAAAACAAAACAAAATATAAAGGTAAAAAGAGAAATTAACTAAAAACGCATTTGTACTAAATATATCCAAGCACATTTTCCTTTTTATGCAAAGTTTTCCAAATCTAGTGTGTATTTATATAGATAGATAATTCGTGTTAGTCACATTTTAGGTGTTCAAATACCACATGTGTTTATATAGAAGGGTTTAAGTTCTGTGCTCCAGCTTTAATAATTCTAAACAGCTCCAACAGCATGACTATGTCCAAGTCACAGTGACACTGATACAGACTCTGCCAGGATGTCTGTTAACTAGTTCTGTTCATGTTTGTTCACTGCTGTTTCTCTTTCTCCTACTATGTCTTTATCCTTTATTGCTTTTCCCTGTCTTTTTCTCTTTTTCCTTCCTGTTCCTCTTTTATCTTTTTGTGCCAATTTCTTTTTCTTTCCTTTCTCATTTTCTGGGATTCCTTCTAATGGACTTTTATAGAACTGAAGAGTGCATATTTGAGTCTATATCATTGTGTTCCCATTTGTGTTCATTCTCAGATTTATTTTTCACTCTTCTAGAAAGAACTTGCAGCCTTAATGTCAGCAGATATGATGAAAACATTCCCACTGTTCTGAAGCACCCTGCTGTTCTTTGCTGTCATGTCCCCTTTCACTGATTATAGTGCACATGCACACATTCTCAGCAAGCAGAGCTCTCACAGATACTCACTGGTAGATAAAAAACTCAACACTTAAACATAATTAAGTAGAAATAGAGTCAGTGTTCTTAAATTAATGCTGCTTACAGATTTTTAAAAACTTTTCTGACATCTGGTAGAAAGGAGAGATAGATAGATGATAGATTAGATGATAAATAGATGAGAAGAACAGAAAAGGAAACAATAATAATTTTGTTTATAGAGGGCAAAGTTAATTTTCTCTAAGAATTACAGTCATAGAGTTAAAAATGTATTGAAGAATGTATACTTGCAGGAAATACGTCTCCAAATTACAAAATCCATTGTTGTAAGAACATTTCAAAGCCAGGGATTTAGCTCAGCAGTATAGGCACCTGCCTGACGAGCATGAGATAGTAAGTTCAATCCCTGGTACCAAAAAATAAATAAAAAGAATATTTCAATGTATATCCTAATTGGTTTCATTTATAATACTAGATTATCATAGTTCATTGTAAAGAAAAGTTTGTATTATTACCTGTTTACTTCTTTTTTTGTAAGAATCTTTTTGGTGTATGTTTTGTACTTTTGAGCTACTGCTGTGAAGATAATGATACACGGTATAATAAGTGTTGTATTCTTTTATTTGTTTCTGAAGTTTTATTTTTTCATAAAAAATTATTTTCACTCTTGCTAGTGCTTGTGAGCATCGCTTACCTTCAGCAAGTGTGTGAGTATGCACTTCTCTTCTAGTGTAGAGAGATCTCTCTTTTTCTCCTCTCAGCCCTCTGGCCATCATTCTCAAGCCTTCCTAAGAGGCCCCTCCTCCTTGCTCCTCTACCAGGAAGACACAAAGTAAGCTGTTGCTCTGCCACTGGATGTGACCTCTGCCCTAAGCCATTCCTCCTTAGCAGGCTTCTGTTTCATAGCCTCTTCCTTATGTACCTGTGACAGTGGGCTTGAAAAGGAGCAGGGAAAGGACACCTCTCCACCTGAGTTTTCCCCTGTAACAGCAGTGAGAGGAAAACAGGAGAGACCCAGTGGGCAGAAGAAAGCAGGAGCCCACCCAGCCACTGCTCCGCAGGACCCCAAGCCCACAGCCTCTTCCAGTGGGCTTGTTTTCTCCCCATCTCAGGCAGCTCCACTGTGACCCTCAGTACAGCTTTGCTGTCCACACTTTGCCACTCTCCTGGCTTCCCTCAGGAGAGTTAACATGAAGAAAGTTTCTGCTCCTCTGGTTGATTGGTCAACTCCCACTTTCACTGCAACTCTTTCACAGTACAGCCTTTGTATTTCTAGTCTGTCTATGAATTCAACATGTATTGCCTTAGCAAGATGTGGGAAAGAACAGTTTTTGGGAAATGAACAAAAGCTAGACTAAAATAAGTTAAGTCTGATTCTCAAAATTAGGTTCTCAGCAAGCATACTCGGATAAACTGCAAATGACCTTAATATACAATTCTTTTTCTAATTCTGATTATAGATGTTCATATTTCTTTATAATAAGGACAGTTTATTAATAAGAACACAAGCAGAGATTAATTAAATCTTTTTTTTAACCGAGCTTCGATAAGCTGCACACACAAAGGCAAGGTAGCTGATAAGCTGCATACACAAAGGTAGTTGAAATTCTTAGTTGTCAGAATGGTAGCTATGTTGTAATTGGTGATTAATTTTGGCTTGAATTGATTGATAATTTCAACTAACAAGAGTGTTATGTTTAATCACAATTTTTATTGCTTATCTTCACTATCAGATTGCTTATGTGTTCTGTACATAACACAGTGGACTGTACAATACACAGTGATGTATATCTGTAACAATATGGTAGACTGAGGTTCCTTTCTACAGGCAGATTTGACCCCTATTCTTCAACATAAATGCATTTTTGTTGGACTCCTCAAAATATTTTCCCAGTCATGCTTGTTTCTAATAAAAAAATTCTTATAAAATACAGTTAGGCCCTCTTTAATGGTTTTATATTATTTTGTTATGTTTGATACTATTGTGTATGAAGGTATGCTCAACTATTTCAAGGAAAGATAGCTACTGTTATATTGGGTTGTCTTGTGGTGAAATACTGTGTTGCTTAAATTGTTCTGATCTGCTTTGTTATGTTCTCTTTTATCTTAATCTCTTTAAAATAAAAAAAATTTAAAAATACAGTTAGGCCTGAAGTAATTTTTTCCATCAAAAATTTATGTTTCAGAAGATTTGTGCATGGCACTAACAACTTGTAAGAAAGAAATGTGGTCCTAATGAAGAGAAGGAAACCTGGTAGCTAAAGAAGTCTGAGAAGGTCTAAGAATACTCATCCTTTTGGGAGAGGGAAGAAACTTGGACATATTATAAATATAGAAAACAATCATTGTGAAGCAAGAGGTTGAAGATGTAGGGAAATAAAGAATAAAAGAAGAGTCTCCAGCAAGACAGAATGGCATTAAGAGCTCAAGAGAAATAGAAATTATAGTATGAAATTTATCATAGCACAAGTAACCTTGAATTATTTAGTATAATTTAGAATGTGTACTCATTAGAAATATCTTGAGTTTTGTTATAATGTAACAGTGTTCATTATTACTTCAAATTAACCCTTGGTAAAATCCAGCTCCATATAAAAAAACTAAGCTTTAGCTTAGCCTAGGTTGAATACACATAATCAAACTTTCCTGTTTTATTTTGAAATAATATTCAAATAATAATGCTTCCTCCTCTTTTCCAGATTGGGCTCCTTTTTGTCCTGAGCCAGTGTATATCCCAACAGGCCTTGAAATGGAACCCCTTTACCCAAGCTCCAAGGAAGACACTGTGGTTTACCTGGCTGAAGATGGTGGGCATAGAATGAGATACATTGCTAGAAAATATAATTGGGTCCCTGGGTTAATATCTTGGTTATATTTGTTTTATGGCTTACAGTGGAAATTTTAGTTTGCCAGGAAGTCTGTGTCCCTAGAAAAATGTGTGGTTGCATATGATTTGGCTGTTTAGTGCTGATTATATTTTTGAAGATATGTAGGAATTCAAACATATAACATGGCTGGGTATGATGGTGCATGCCTGCAATTCCAGTACTCTGGAGGCTCAGGCAGGAGGATCGCTGCAGGTTCAAGGTCAGGCTAGGCTACATAGTGAGTTCAAAACCAATCTGAGCTACCTAACAAGACCGTGTCTCAAAAAACAAAACAAAATAAAACCAAAACCAAGTTGTCTGTTAGAATAGAGTTGTATTTCATGTGAATTATGTGTCATGTATTTTCGTAGTGGAATTCTCCAAAACTGTGCCTTTCTCATCTATAGCTCACATTCACCTAATCGTTTAACCAGTTTTCTATTAATTCTATACCTGTTGACATATTCCGTGGGGTTTTTATCTTTAAAGGAGAAAATACTCACCTTGCAAATCATATCCAAGACTTTATCTCAGAAAAAAATTCTTAATGTTCAAGATCAGTATTTGAACTTTGCAAGCTGTATTAAAGAAAAATCCTATGCCTCCTCTTTTGAGAATGTAGACAACCAAACATAAAAAGCTCAGTTTATACCCTGTGCTTATTGTCTGTGAAGTATTAATTTGAGGAATTATAGAACTCCTGAAAAAAAGTTGCTATCATAGTTCAATATCTTGATGTTTTCATATATTTTTTAAAAACTTGCCATGAAGCATATGAAGTGTGATTGAAAGATACAATTAATGTATAAATTAGAAATACTTATTAATGTATAAATTAGAAATATTGATATTTATTAATAAGAGATATTATTATCAGTCTCCCTTAAAGTACTCCCAATTGCTTCACATTCATCCCATTGTTCTTGCTATTTTCTGGAGCACTTCTAGAAGTTCTCTTTTGTGAATGTGTTTATAAGGTATCAAAAATACTGGTAAGTGCTACTGCCGAGAGCCATCTAACAAAAAGGCAGACCTGTAAAAACCTCAGGGTGTGTCCTCATCCACATCATTCAGCATACCTGGCACTGTGCGACTTGCGACTCTTCCCAAGGTCAAAATGACCATGAAAGAGAAACATTTAAAATCAGTTCAGGCACCCAGAATGACACAGCTAAAGACACTCATGGAAAACGACTTCCAGAACTGTTTAAGAAAGTGGTAGGGCTGGGGATTTAGCTCAGTGGCATAAGCACCTGCCAGACTGCCAGCGCAAGGTCGTGAGTTTGATCCCTGATGCCAAAAAAAAGTGGTATTAATGATGGGTTAAGTGTATTTGAAGCGAGGGGAGTATTTTGAGGGGGATTCATGGTATTGTGTTATTTACTGTAATAAACTTTTTAAAATTTAAACATTAACTGTAGGTTTCAATCAAACTTCATACATATTTTATTTAGGGCTGGTGATACAGTTCAGCAGCATAGCGCCTGCATGGCAAGCATGAGGTCCTGAGTATGATTCTTGGTAGCAAAAATAAATAAATATATTTATTTATTTATTTAAAAAGCTAACAAGATAGAAATTCATAGGGACTTATGTGTACAGTCAGCTATTCTAGAAATCAAACCGTATGTTCACACATATTTTTAAATAACTGGAGTGAGAGAAGTACCTCCAATTCTTAGGATTTGACTTCAAAGATTTACACCAATAATTGGAAACAAATCAAGGTGAGTCAGTCAGGGTCGCATGAGGGATGGGATGACACATAACTTAGGAGGGTTCGATAAAATTTAATAAATTTACAAAAGGACAGTGTAAGAAGGGCTAACAAGACGGTAGAGCAACATTAGACTATGAACAGGGCAAACTCAATTTCTCCTAGCTGAAAGGGTAAGAGGATGGCTTTCAGAGCTGCAGAAGCTCAGCTGTAGGAGAGGCAGTTCCAAAACAACTGTGGCCTCCTAACAGCTGCCAACCTGGGCAGTGAAGGGAGACTCTGTTGAAGAAGTAACTCAGTTCCAGTACGGACCTCCTGTGCTCTGCAGCCCATCCTGTTGGCCATGGTCAGTGGACAGGGGAGCCTTGAGGGAGCCCCTAAAGTCCAAGCTCTCTACAAACAGACAACGTGGAGAATAATAGAGGACAGATCCAGATACACAAACAGGACGTCCACAGCAGTTAAGATATCAATCATTCCTTAGCCATTTTGGGAGTTCTGAAGATCTGCTGGAAAGAAAGCTTACCAAATTAAAGAAAAACAAATGAAAACAAAAACCCCTGGACAGGGTGGCACATGCCTGTCATTCCAGCACTCTGAGGCAGGAGGACTACTGCAAGTTCATGGCTAGCCTGGGCTACCAAGTGAGACCATCTCTCAAAAAACAAACAAATGAAAAAAAAAGCCTTAAATACTTGATTTTCATCCAGCATATAAAAGATTATTTGTAACTACTTGCCTTTTTTATTTTTAATAAAAAACAGTTTAAAAAAGACATTTCAGTAGTGACTGTAAATTCACAATTGATGAGCTTTAAAAATGAATACAACCTGTTACCAATATGCCTATCAAGATTTGGGACATGCCTATTACCTGGGAAAGTTCCCACTTGTGTCCCCTTCTAGTCAGTCCCTAGCTCCTTCCTAAGTAACCATAGTTCTGATTTCTGTCACATACAGAAATGCAGTCATACATTCTGAATCCTTTTGTATCTGGCTTCTTTGGAATTACAGGTGTGCACCACCATGCCTGGCTTCAAATTTTCTTTGCCTTTGTGTTTTGCTAGCTGTAATGTGATATACCAGTTTTACCATTCTTTATATGATGTGTCTGTATTTGGTATTTATCCTATTCGATGTTCTTTGAGCTCCTTCAGTATGTGCTTTGGTGTCTGGCAAAATGTTGGAATTTTAGCCATTGTTGAAAGTACTCTTTTGTTTTGTTGTTTATTGTTTGTTTTTTGAGACAAGGTCCCCCTATGTAGTTCAAGTGGCCCGTACTCATAGTGATTCTCCTCCTGCCTCAGCCTCCGAATGCTGGGATTACAGGTGTGAGCCCCCACGCCCAGCTCTCAGCCATTGTTCTTCACATTTTTGTTCAGTTATTGCCTCTGCTGCTTCTGAGGTTTCAATCACATACACGTCAGATTATTTGGTATTGTTCAGCATATCTTGGATGCTCTGTTCTGTTGCTTTTGTTTTGTGTTATTTTAAAAATATGGGTCCATTGGGGCAGTATTGACTCATCTGCAAGCTCACTGATTATCTCCTTTCCTCTATATACTCTGTTGATGAACTCATCAAAGGTAGTGTTCATTTTTGTGGAAGATGTGTTGAAGGAAGTCTTTATTCTTTTTTAAAGCAAACGTTGAGTTTTGTTCTAACAGGTAGAAAACCACTTAGCTTCTTGCAGGTATGTTTTGGGTTTTTTTGATAAGGGCAAGTCTAATTTTATTTTATAGGCCGTCAGGGCCCTAACTTTTGGGTGTGGTCCTTACCCCAGAGGTACAGCCTTCCTAGAGCTGCAGTTAAAGCCTCAGATGTTCTGTGCACTCTTTAACCCTGGATAAACTGGAATTCCAGCATGTACAGAATTGTGCATCCTGTGCTATTTCAGTGCAGCTTAGTCTTTTTCTGTGGCTGTGAAGGGTTTGGGAACCACTATTTAGACTACTGAGGCCCTCTTTTTCTGTGGCTTGCTTCTCTCTGGTTCCCTGCCTCACTAATTTCAGCAGTACCGAGTATTAAACAGTCTTACCTTATGCCAATAAGATTGTCATGCTCCTTTTTTTCTCTTTTCAGTACTGGGGATTGAATCCGGGGCCTTCACACTGAGCTGCACATTCAGTCCTTTGCTTATTTTTCATTTTGAGACTGGGTCTCACTAAGTCACTAAGTTGCCCAGGCTGGGTTTAAACTGGCAATCCTCCTGCCTCAGCTTCCGACAGTGCTGGATGAGAGGGATGAGCACCACAACCAGCTGTCTTGCTGTTGTTAAGTACCATTTTCCTAAACTATAGTCCAGCAAATACCCACTACATGGAAAACCAGAGCTAAATATGGGTCCATTTCATGTCCCTATTTTTTTCAAAGACTCTATCTAGTTCTGTTTGGCCCAAATGTATGGTAACAGCTCACAGTTTTCATCCAGTTTCACAGTCACTTACAGTGAGAAAGAGAAGTACAGAACAAGTTTTACTTTATCATGAATAGAATAGTAGAATGAATATTTTCAACATGAAAAATATGTAAATTTATTTTCGTTATGCATTTCTAGTCTAAGTACTCAGACTGTAACATCAATGCAAATTAGCGTCAAGTTACTTTAGGCTGCATACTCTAGACATGTCTTGACATCTTTTTTGTCTTGTCTCTCATCAGCTTACAAAGAGCCCTGTTTTGTGTATTCCCGAGTTGGAGGCAACAGGACACCTCTGAGGCAGCCTGTGGATGGCTGTGACAACACTTTGATGTTTGAAGCAAGGTTTGAGAGTGGTAATCTCCAGAAGGTAGTCAAAGTGTAGGTTTTAATTATTTTTATCTGAGGAGTTAGACCATTAGCTATTTATTATATTCTGTATTATGTACATTAAAAATTCTGAATATTCATTAACCAATTGTAACTCCAAAAGCATAGGTGCTAATTGGAGGTATCAAAGTTTTACAACATTTATTTCACCTACTCTAGGTCATTATTTATAATTATACATCCATATTCTTGAAACTTACTTGGTAAAGGAAATAGTCACAAATAACCAACTAAGATTGTTATGTATATAAATAATATTCATGTGAAAAACTTTTTGCCTTAATTTATGTATCTTCAGTGACTAATTATATGGTACAGATAGTTGTCAAATACTGTCCTTGTATCAAAGGAGTTTATATTTTCATAATCTATGTGATTATATTAATTTAAATGTGTTTTTAAACCTCCCAGTGAAAGTTTTGTCATATTCCTAGAACTGAGTTGTTAGGAAATAATAATTGCATATCTTAAGTTAAAAATTTTGGATTTTCCTTTGGTTTTAATATCTCTTTAATGATTCATTTCATAGGAAACAATTATGTTGAAATATATGCATTTTTATAAAATGTTTATGTTTTATATGTATCCCTGAATTCCAAAGCATGCAAATCCTTTAGAAGTAGCATAGTGTATTGGTCAGTGTTTTGTTAATGAGACACAATATCCAAAACCCACTGTTGGAAGGAGAAGAGGTTTAAGTGGCTTGTGGTTTCAGAGGATTTAATCCATGGTCAGCTGGCTCCAAGGCAGAAGCATCATGGTAGAAGGGCAGAACAGAACAAAGGTGCTCAGTTCTTGGTAGCCAGGAAGAAAGCAGGGGAACAGTACCAGAGTGAAGGGGCTAGGGACTAAGTATGGAGCCTTCAGGTCCACCTCCATGATCCTAACACTCCTAAAAGTGCACTGTACCAGCATAGGCAGTTCTCAAGTTAATCAAGCTGGCAGTTAAGCTTAACCATTGCATTTCAGTCCCGATCAACTTGACACTCACATTTCCTTCAGCCGTACTTAATATCCAAAATACAGTAATAAGTTCATAATTCCACCTACTGTGACACAACCACCCTACATGCAAGCAAAAATACATTAATCCCTTTCCCAAAGTCTCAGTCCTTCCAGTGTTTCTCCACAGTCCAAGTCAAAGTCGCCTCTGAATCTCCCCTCTTTGCAATGAACTTTTGTAAAATTCAAAAGCAAGTTATTTAATCCCAAATGCAATTGCATTTTCTCAACCAATAAATGAGAAAATTTCAAAACTTTTAAGTTACTTGCTTTTGATCTAAGTGAACACTATTTCCCAAAAAAAGCTTACTGCAAAAAAGTAAAATTTCTAAAAATTAAAATAATTTTACTCTTTAGCTTAAACCCAAATATCATGGGGAGAGGAAAAAAATGGCAGCTTGCTAGGGGGCTGGGTGCAGAGTCTCTGTGGAGAAATCAGATCAGAGGACAACATGGAGAGGGCCAGATAAGCCCCTCCCAAGAGAACAGATGGAACAGATGGAAGAACAGAGGAAATCAGAAAAGAAAGAGAAACTGCTGATGAAGGATTTAAACATAACCTAGAATACATGAAACAGAGAGAGATTACCAGGAAACTAAAAACTCCATTGAAAACTGGCAAAATGCCTTGACAGAAACTAAAGTTAGCCTTTTGAAACTTGAAGAGAGATTTATGATATATGATCGTGAAAGAAAAGACCTTTTAAAAATGAGGAACCAGAAAGAAACAATTCAAAGGCTAGAAAATGACAAAAGGATACATAGCTTTAGAATAAAGCACATGAGCGAGGAAGCAGGAGTAACCAAAAATGAAATACAAAGAATATTCATAAATATATTAAAGGAAAACTTCCCAAGCATAGGAAAAAGAAATGATATCCATATAAGTGAGGCATGCAGAACTCCAGCCACCTACAACCAAAACAGATCTACACCCAGACATATAATAATCAAGATTCCAGAAATCCACCAAAAGAACAGAATACTAAAAGCAGCCAGGGAAAAGAAGCAAATTACCTACAATGGGAAAATTATCAAAATAACAACAGACTTATCAATACAAACTCTCAAATTGAGAAGAACCCAGAGAGAAATAATCCAAGCCCTGAAAGAAAATAATTTGCAACCAAGACTGATGTACCCAGAAAAACTCTCTCTCAAAATTAATGGGGAAATAAGATGTTTCCAAGACAAGGAGGAACTGTGGGAGGTCATGGCCACCAACCCAACCCTACAGAGAGTGCTGAAGGACATTCCAGAAAAAGAGGGAGGGATACCAGGATTCCAGCAACAGTGGCAGAGAGGCCTCAGTGAACGGAGCAGACAGAGGAAAGAGGGAGTAAGGTGGACAAATTATACCAGTAAAGTGGAGTAGCAGACATGAGGCAGAGATGGCAAGCTATAGTCTTTAATACAGATAGCTTTGATACACTAAAATAAAAAATTCAGAATATATGGTCTTTATCTCAATATGACAAAAGCCGTCTATCACAAAGTTTGTCAGCATCATACTAAATGAACAAAAACTGAAAGTTTTTCACTCTAAAATCAGGAATAAGACAAGAATGTCCACTATCACCACTTCTATTCTATATAATTGTGGAACATTAACCAGAGAAATTAGACAAGAGAAAGAGATAAAAGGAATAAGGATATGAAAGGTAGATGTTAAACTATCCTGATTCTCAAATGACATGATACTGTAATTAGAAGATGCCAAAAACTGCAACAAAAGACTTCTAGAATGAATAACCCAATAGAGTACTGTACTTCCTTCTTTGAACGACTGTTAATACAAATGGATATATTGATTATGATACTATTTCACAACTAGAATTGTAATTAGCAAAGAAGAAAAATTGTCCAAATTATCCTATGTTTAGACTTTCTTTGCACTAAAGAAATAATCCTTAATTGTGGTCAAATGTAAATGTGAGTCATAGGAAAATCGAACACCTCTGGCCCTTAATGAATCCACTATTGCTGAATCCAAGGCTTCCCTCACTTAGCCTTTGGATCTTGAGGGTGGAGCTTCTAGGCTAGCCATAATTAAAAACTCCACAAGGCTGTATCCATCCTTTGTTGATTTTGTTCAAGCTCCTTAGCAACAATATGGCTTACAGGAAGTAAGTGAAAAATTATAATTGCCTGCATTTATGTGTCTTTTTCTCTGTGACCTAAAACAAATCAGGTAAGACCTAAAAAAATTTTCAGATGTTTCTAGTAAGTACATTAAAGTCTTTATAGAGAACCTACTCAGACCTACAACCTAGGTTAGAGAGATACTGCGTTATAATACATATTTTCAGAGCAGGTTTAAATAGACCCTAGCCAGTACTGCTGTAGGGGTGACTGAATAGAGAAACTAATATGTTTTAACGATCTCTTTGCCCTAGAGCTGACGTTTCTTCTGAACTATTATCTGCCAGTGTCTCCAGATGCAATAGCTCTCCCTGCAGTCTTTGATTCAGTCATTTATTAGAAAATAATCTATAAACAATATAATTAAAATACTTTCAATTTTCTCTCATAAGGTTAAAAAGCAGCATTTAGGTCTTTTGATAATTGGTTTCATTTTCTGTTTGGCAACACAGCTGAGGTCAACTTTTGTCTCTGCGGGTATGTTTTGCTAAGGATTATAGATGCACCCTAGGAAAGCTCCTGATCTTAATTATCCTTCTGCATCTGAAATGGTTAGAATTTAGTTCTTAGGCCATAGGTAGAGTCACTCTTTTGTCCCTTCCCTCTCCCAAGAACAATACTGACTGGTTTTTATAACACAGGACAGACTGACTGATTTTTTTTTTTTTTATCAGTACCGGGGATCAAACTCATGACTGCCTGCTTGCAAGTCAGGTGCTTATGCCGCTGAGCTAAATCCCCAGCCCCAGACTGACTGATTTTTATAATACAGATATGTTCAACTGATACTACAAAACATTCCTAGGAAATCTTAAGAGTTGAATAATAGTTTTAAATGAGAACAAATATTTTTTTAAAAAATAGGGACAGCCTTAGTCCTCAGAAGACTGCATCTCATCATGATTTCTCACCACAATATCACACATACATATATGCGTATCATATATATGATATATGGCCACTATAAATAAATAAATAAATATATATATATATATTTATCTTACCATCTGAGCAAATGTTTTGAAGATAACAATACACAATAAAATGACTACTGTTAATTTCCTATCAGCCTGTTTTGAAATCCTATATCATCTCTATTTTTTATTGTTTTGTTTTCTTTTAATCTCTTTAAAATAAAATTTAAAAACAATGAGTAGCCTGTATAGCTGAATATTCCAGTCAGACAAATTATCAGCCTAGGGTCCATCTTAAAAGCTGTCTTTGCTTTCACAGGTGTAAAAGGTTTTATTCCTTCTGTTAATTGACCTACAAAAAGTTCTGACTAGTCTACTTATAGATACAATTTTAAAAACTAAAACTTCATTATAATTCAACTTGGCCAAATACATCTGAATACACTCTAGTTTTATAAATAAATTATCTTATGTGTGTCTGTCTGACTGTCCAAGTTGTAACTAGTTACCATACTTACAGCTCTGAAGTTCAACAATTTTTTCTTTTCTTTGCCCTTTTGAATTTTTAAAACATTTGTCTATAACTTAAACTGGTTTATAGATGTCATTAGAACTAAGAACATACTTCCATCCAGGTTACTGCCTGATCAAAGATTGATTTCACAAATGTAATCCATACTGTTGTCTGTGTACAAAAATTCAAGAAGCTTTCATTGGTCAAAATAATGTGCAAATTGTTATGACCTGACTCTCTTAGGTCACAAAAAGTCTTAAAATAGTTCTATAGAGATCCCTTAGGATGGGAGAGCTGTTGAACAGGACTCTTCTGGGTGAAAAAGGACAAATTTTCCGGAAAATTTTTTATCCCAGGTTCTCTTCATTGAGGGAAGCCCAATAGCTTCCATAGCCTTATGGAAGACAGCCCAATAAACATTGTTAAATATATTATTGTGATGTTTACATTGGTCATTGGTAAAAGGTTTTCTATAAATAAGACAATAAGATTTTCTCATTATAAAATGCTCAGTGTGGGGGGGAGTTCAAAAATGGCGGCTTGCTAGGGGGCTGGGTGTAGAGTCTCTGTGGAGAAATCAGATCAGATGCTAGAATATGACAACATGGAGAGGGCCAGACAAATGTATAGTGATTCTTATTAACCAAGGCAGTAACTGAAGGAAAAAATAAAACCAAGAAGAGGCAGGAAAAGCACAGGTGGAGAGCTGAAGCCCGATGTACTCATTGAGCCCAGTTCTGCACTATACTAGGCACGCCCAGAGGATCTAAGGTTGTGCTGAGACCCCAGCTACTGATAATGGGAATGGGCAAATCCTGGAACCTTAACAGGAGGACATGGCACAGTGAGCAGTGGATCCAAGGGGAAAAGCTGTATTGGCTCTTGGCGACTGCTAAAATTGAGACCTGGGACCCCATGAAGCAGCCAAAGCCACCTGGCTGCACCAGAGGAGACTGTGAGAAGCTCCAGAGCTCCAAAGCCTGACACCACGCAGTTTTCTGACCAATCCACACTGTGCTGAAAACACAGTGAAGACAAGCGGCGCAGTGTGCAGTGGACCCAAGAGGAAGATCTGCATTGAGTCCTGGTGAGTACTAGGGACTGGGTCCCATGGCTGCTGTCACTGGCTGGAGGACATCTTGGAATTGGGCAGAGCCCAGCACCATGGCAGCATCAGTGACACAGAGAGGACTGGTGGAGGACATCTTGGAGTTTGGCAGAGCCCATGCCGTGGTGACATCAGATAGTCACCCCTGATGCAGAGAGGTCTGGTGCAGCACATCTTGAAACTGGGCAGAGCCCAGCGCTGTGATGGCATCAGTGACACAGAGAGGACTAGTGGAGGACATCTTGGAATTGGGCAGGCCCCGATGCTGCAGTGACATCAGAGAGCCGCCCCTGGTGCAGAGAGGTCTAGTAGAGGACAGCTGGGATTTGGGCAGAGCCCTGCATCGGGGTGACATCAGTCAGCTGCTCCTGGTGCAGAGAGAACTGGCAGGGTCTGCTGGGGCTGAACCATGCCTCTGGTTGGGACACAATAAGCAGATACAAAATAGTCGCAACTCTGTGACGTCCACAAGGTACAGCTTAACTTGCGGATTGACTGGCACAGAGACTGGAGGCTAGCCTGCACCATCTCTGCATCCCTGCCTACTTCAGATAACAGCAAATTGGGGAGGGTAGCAAAAGCTCCAGTCAGCATGCTTTGTAAAGACCCTAAGCAATATGGAGAGGGCCAGACACCCCCAGGACACACCAGACTGAAAGAAACCAGAAACATAAGAGATAGAAATAAAAAAAACTTCAGTTGCCAAACCTGGGAGAATAAGCCCAGGAAGAGTAAACACAGAAGAGAACCAGCACAGTAACCATCCAATACTAGACACAGCATCAGCCGAAATAAATACCTTCATGACCTCATAGACAAATTTAAAACTGTACTTCTGATCCAAGTAAGGCAAGATATAAAAAGATTAATTAAAGAAATGATAGGGGTTGGGGGTTTAGCTCAGTGGCATAAGCGCCTTGCCTTGCAAGTCTGTTGTCATGAGTTCGATCCCCGGTACTGATAAGAAAGAAAAAGACAAAAAAAAAAAAAAAAAAAAAAAAAAAAAGAAATGATAAGCCCACCCAAGAGAACACAGATGAAAGAATGGAGGAAATCAGAAAAGAAAGAGAAACCTCTGATGAAGAATTTAAACATAACCTAGAATACATGAAACAGATCCCAAGAGATTACCAGGAAACTAAAAACTCCAATGAATACTGGCAAAATGCCTTGACAGAAACTAAAGTTTGCCTTTTGAAACTTGAAGAGAGATTTATGATATATGATCATGAAAGAAAAGACCTCTTAAAAATAATGAGGAGCCAGAAAAAAACAATCAAAGGCTAGAAGACGACAAAAGGATACATAACTTAGGAATAAAGCATGTGAGCGAGGAAGCAGGAGTAACCAAAAATGAAATACAAAGAATATTCATAGATATGTTAAAGGAAAACTTCCCAAGAGTAGGAAATAGAAATGATATCCAGATAAATGAAGCATACAGAACTCCAGCCACCTACAACCAAAACAGATCTATAATAATCAAGATTATTAATCAGAAATCCACCAAAAGAACAGAATACTAAAAGCAGCCAGGGAAAAAAAGAAGATAATCTACAATGGGAAAATTATCAAAATAACAATAGACTTATCAACACAAACTCAAACTGAGAAGGGCCTGGGGAGAAATAATCCAAGCCCTGAAAGAAAATAATCTGCAACCAAGACTGATGTACCCAGAAAAACTCTCTCTCAAAATTAATGGGGAAATAAGATGTTTCCAAGACAAGGAGGAACTGTGGGAGTTCATGGCCACCAACCCAACCCTACAGAGAGTGCTGAAGGACATTCCAGAAAGAGAGAGGAAGGGATACCAGGATTCCAGCAACAGTGGCAGAGAGGCCTCAATGAATGGGGCAGACAGTGGAATGAGGGAGTAAGGTGGACAAATTATACCAGTAAAGTGGAGTAGCAGACATGAGGCAGAGACGGTATGCTATAATCTTTAGTATAGATAGCTTTGATACACTATTAAAAAAGGCAGAGGTCATTGTTAATAGTGTATCAGTCACTATGTAAAAGTCATAGTAGTCTTGTCGCTCTGTTTAGTTTAAATTTATTTCATTCCGGTCTGTCCACTTATATCAGATTTGAGGGCACAGACATCTGACCCAAAAATAGCAGGTTATACCATGGTAACTATCCTTAATTTCCTATTAACTTAAACTGAAACCCTGTATTACTTACATTGTCTAACTATGACTGACCTTATTTGAATCTGATTCGTTAGACCATGGTTTTGCCTTGTCTGATTTTATTTGAATTTGGTATGCTTGATAGTATCAACTCTAAAAGTAGAGGCAACTACTCTGAAGATGACAAGATGTAAAAGATATCCATACCAGTTTTGATTATTAACAGCTCTCAAGTCCTACAATGTTTTCAAAGTTGTGTTTTTATAAAAATAGCTATGTAATACTATGCTTAACTATATTAAGCCTGATGATGTGGACAAGTCTATTGAAAATAACAAGAGAAAGCATAGTAACTATGGTACATCACCTAATATTGTGGTCTTATGTGTCTTTTTCATTGCATGTTTTTCTAGGAATTTGTTCTGCTGTCTTGTTATGATTTGTTTTTCCCTATAATACAGAGAGGATAGATATACATGTAGAAATTCACACATGGGAAGAATTTTTTAAACTATTTATGGGAACAGATTATATAATGCAAGATGTAATGAACAGATATTCTGAAGAAGAAGAGACACTAAGAAACCCAATGCTAATTCTGTAGCATTATGATATAAAATCTAGCAATACTATTATTCACTGTTCAAAGTGATATTAGTCTAGTCTCTTAAGTTCAATTTCAGCATATGTAAAGACAAGGACAGCTACTACGAAGAGAATGAGAGACACTATGGTAGTCACTATGACATTTTACCAATGTCAGATCTTGAAGACCTAAAAAGCCTTTATCACTGTAATGATTTGATTAGTTCTATAATATGCAGTATTTATTAATATGTGTGAAGATAGGGACAACTATTTGGAAGAAAACTAGAGACAATAAGATAAACAGTGAAGATCTCCAGTGGACTTGCTTTGAAATCTGTATTTCTTTAAATTGTTTCTTTTTGAACTGTTTTGTTCTGTTTTGATGTTTAATCTTACCCTCTTTAAGATAAAATACAAGTGTGTAGGACTGATAACCATATTACTAAGTTTATGTTGGATCATTGAGCAGAACTGTTGGCAGTGTCACTATTTGAATGTCACTTTACATATTTTAATTTTGTAACCTGAACAACTATTTCTAAGATGATAATATGTAACTGATCAACATGATTTCTTACTGTTTATTTTTCTGTAATTCTGTATTCTACCCTTTTTTCTCCATGTTTTTTTGTTTCTGTCTCTTTAAATTAAAAAATCAGAAAAAAAAACCCAAATATCATTTTTACATTCTTATGTGTTTTTATCTTCCTTTCTTTCATATTAGGGCAGAATATGAATACCAATTGACTGTACGCCCTGATCTCTTCACAAACAAACATACACAGTGGTACTACTTCCAAGTGACTAATACCCAAGCAGAAATGGTCTACAGATTCACTATTGTCAACTTCATCAAGCCTGCTAGTCTTTACAACCGTGGTATGCGCCCACTGTTCTATTCTGAAAAAGAGGCTAAGATTCATCATATTGGCTGGCAGAGAATAGGAGACCAGATCAAGTATTACAGGAACAACCTGGGGCAAGATGGGCGCCATTTTTTCTCTCTTACATGGACATTTCAATTTCCACACAACAAGGATACCTGTTACTTTGCTCACTGCTATCCATACACTTATACCAACCTACAAGAGTACCTTTCTGGCATCAACAATGACCCTGTCCGGTCCAGGTTTTGTAAAATACGTGTTTTGTGCCACACGCTTGCTAGGAACATGGTATACGTTTTAACAATCACCACTCCCTTGAAGAACACTGACTCCAGAAAGAGAAAAGCTGTGATTTTGACTGCAAGGGTCCATCCAGGAGAAACCAACAGTTCTTGGATTATGAAAGGCTTCCTCGATTACATTTTAGGAGACTCACATGATGCACAGTTGCTTCGGGACACTTTCGTCTTCAAGGTGGTACCCATGCTGAACCCAGATGGTGTGATTGTGGGAAATTATCGGTGTTCCTTAACTGGACGGGATTTAAATCGTAATTATACATCTCTTCTGAAGGAATCTTTTCCTTCTGTTTGGTATACCCGGAATATGGTTCATAGGTAAAATAAGCCTCAAATTACCTCTCTGCTTAACTGGTAAACTTGGTAGTAAGAATGTTGCTCCTACAATCCCATTCATTTTACTCTAACCTTTTGTAAGATAGTTTATGAGTTCTTTTTACCTGTTCTTCACAACTCTGGTCCATACCCTTTGGACGTTTATACCACTGTTTTCACTGTCTTACTCTTAAATAATGAAATAGGTTCTGAAATATTTTGATGGTTCTGTGAAATAATAAGAAATTGGTATATTCCAATTTGGTTTTTTGCTGAAAGCTAACAGTACCATTGAAGTTTGCACTGGTATCATTGCATCCCTTGTATGTGAAAATTAATTACATCTCAGAGAATCCGCTGGCATTGTGTTGCTCACACATTGCTGGACAAGCCTTTGACTTTTAGGTTATATTGTTATTTAAACTTTCAAAACTAATAGTTGTATTTGCTCCTAGAAAAGTTGAACAGCTTTAAATTTTCCAAAAAAGTCTTGAACAGTAAACTACACATAATATTTAACTATTTATCAAATGACTAGGTGAATTCTTTGATAGATTTGGGTAATACCAACTGAGAATAGAATTGCTGCAATGGAATGATTTATTAGAGTCAGAAACCCCATTCTAAGGCTGGAGCTTTAGCTCAGTGGCATAAGTACCTGCCTGACTAATGCAAGGTCCTGAGTTCAGTGCCTGGTACAAAAAAAAAATTCCAAATGCAAAGTGTCTTAACCTTTTTTATTAAAAGCATGGATTTCAGAATTAAGCATACCACACTGGAATCCCTGCTATATCATTTACTAATTGCATCTCCTACAATTTAAAAACCAGTGTGTCTTGATTTTATCATCTGTAAAATGGGAATAATACCTCAAAATTGAGAAGATTATATGAGAAAACTGTTAAAATATGCTTAGAATAGAGACAGGCACATTGAAAACTAAAGTATCACTTGTAATGCCAGCACTCAGAAGGCTAAGGTGGAAAAATTGCTGGAAATTCAAGGACAGCCTGTGCTATATAGTGAGTTCAAGGCCAGTCTGAACTACATAGCAAAACTCTGTCCAAAAAAGAAGAAGAAGAAGAAGAAAAGAAAGAAAAAAGAAAACTAAAGTATTCAATGTGATTCTTCAACTATCAAAAGAAAAAAAATAGCTAAGTCAAATATAGATGTGAAAACTCATTGTAAATTGTCTAGTTATTCAAATGTCACAGCAAATGCTGTATCTTAATCCAGCTTTATTACCAGGACTCCTCACAGTAGCAAGATCTTAGTCACAAAACTAAGGACCCCAAGAATTCCAGCTCTTCTGAGGCTGAAGCACCTGGAATGGCTCCGAGGATATCAGTTTAACTTCAACTTTTACTTTCATAGGAGTCAATTATCTGCTTAGGAACACAGGGAGTGGAACACAGGCAGAGCCCATAGTAAGACTGGAAACTCTGGTTTTTATACTCCTCACAAATGTGAACCCCACGGTTTCTTGAAATTATTTGGGAAATACTTAAGTACTAAAAGAACAATCCTTTTTTTTCCTGGGGGTGCAAATGGTAAAAAAAAAAAAAAAAAAAAAGAGCTGGGTGCAAAATGGTATCCTGGGTTGGATTTGAGATAGAAAAAAGTGTTATTAGTGGAAAAACTAGTGAAATCCAAACAAAGTTGGGAGTTTAGTTAATGCACCAGTGTTGGTTTCTTTTAGTAACGTACCATAATTATGTAATACGCTAACATTAGAGGAAACTAGGAGAGAGGTATACAACAATACCCTCTTCTATCTCTGCAACTTTTGGTTAAAGTTATTCCAAAAGAACAAACTTTGTAGTTAGATGATAGACACAGAGATATAAATACAGGTACAGAGGTAGAGATGAAAGGATTTGATGGTGCCTACTAAAATGTCTCTAATGTCTATTTAATGCTCTTTAACATTTAAGGTTCCTGATCTGATACATGTTTGATTACAGGCCAACACCCTTTGGCTTGTCTCTCTAGAAACTCATTTGAATGTCTTAGTTCTTATATGCCTTGTAGGTAGAGTAAGATAGGAGTCTATTTAACGCGTTTCAGAAAGACTTCCAAGAAAGTGAAATACCTCAATGTAATTAATCAAAGGTAGGTAAGTAAAATAAGAAGTCAGCCACATATGAGTGCAAAGGTGAATGCTGTGAGTATACCTAACTACATTTAAAGTACATTAAAATAAGAGACTTAGAATGAAACGATTACAGTATCTTAGCTAACCATGGGTAAGAAGAAGATGCAAACTGTTCCTAAAGTTATTTTAGTTAACGTAAGGTGAAAGATATCAATGTCTACTTTACTTCAGAAGTAATATTTCTTTGGGAATTAATTAGAAATTTCTTTCCACTTATTTATAAGCAGCTGAAAGGCCTAAACAGAGAAATTTAAGATTTTAAAATGTACAGTGTCCTCCATAATTAAGGGTTTATCTTGATATTCATGGTTTATAATCTAGTTAGTTTTCTAAATCGTAATGATCTTTTAGTGGCTTCATCAACTGCCTGTTATTAATTAGAGTTTATTAGGCACCAAGTGAGATAAAAGCAATATAGTAATATATTAACAGATTTTAGTTTGAAATTTTATTACAGTTTAAGGAGCATTTTTAATAAAAGCAATGCTTTAGGTGTTTTGATCTTAAATATTTTTATAGTTTATATAATACCATTGCTAGCATTTTCACAGTTATAATAGTATGTAATTTTATTAAGTAATATAGTGTTTTATAAAGCTTGGAAATATGAAAATAGACAAAAATGTCAATTCTGCCATTTTACCTTTTTTTACCTTTTGAAATTCTCCTTTATTAGTCATTTTCATCAATCATTTTGAGGGACTATTTTTTATTGTTTTAAAATCACTGAGTGCTAAAGTATATAGACTAAGGATGGGACTTTTAAAATCTACCATAATTTCTTTTCTTTACAATGTTTATTAGAAATTTACATGTTAATTTTTAACAAATACCTGGGAACTTATGTGCAGATCACTGTTCTAAATAATTTAAAGTATTTTGCATCCTTAGTGAGCTTAAATATCAAAAGTATGAAAATACCTAGGCAAGTGCCAAGTAAATGATACCAGTAAATTGCCTTAGAAGTTCAAAAACAGGAAAATTGATGGTCTTGACAAGTTAGGTGAGAATGAGATGCGAGTGTGGTTTTGAAGGATGGTGTTAGTATTTGCACTTATAAAGATACCATTGAAAAAGATTTCAGTCAATCTGTGTAAAAGGTAAGGGGCAGAGAGAGACATGATTTGTTTTCTGTGCATAACAGAAATATCAGATTGATACAGCACAGAGATCTCGCTGGAGAATCTTGAGAATAAATTTTGTCTTTATAATGAAACACTACAGCATTCAGATTCCGTATACAGGTTAACAGGAAATAATAGATTTCTTAAAGTGCATATTAATAATAATATGAGATGTGGATATAAGATAAAGACTTGAGAGCTAGGATATAAAAAATTCTAACTATTTTGATATAACATTTTGTCATTGAACCCACAAAGAAAATTCAGAGGTAAAATTTAGTAACATCTTTTTTCTTCTTGGTAGATTGATGGAGAAACGGGAAGTTATTTTATATTGTGATCTTCATGGCCACAGTAAAAAAGAGAATATCTTCATGTATGGCTGTGGTGGTAGTGACAGATCTAAAGCATTATATTTACAGCAACGAATATTTCCTCTTATGATGAGTAAAAACTGTCCAGATAAAGTAAGCTGCTTTAGGATTTTAACTTTTCCTTTACTAAATGGTGTCCATGCAGGACAGTAGAACAGATAATCCTACTCAGGAACCTGTATTTTTATTTATTCTGACTGACTAAAATTACCATAAGAAAAAACATGGTGGAACTGTTCAGTGACTGATAATTTTAAAATATTAAAAAAGACAAAAATTCCCATAGTCCTAACTTTCCAATACCACCACGGTTTTACTTGAGACACTTCCTCTATTTTGCCATTTTCACCAGTTTGGCAGCCTTATTTTTATTGCTTTAGTGTTTATTCAGTGCTTAAACTATACAAGGTGAATATATAAGAAATTTATAATAGTGACTTTAATTTGTATTTATTAGAATTTTACCAGAAAAAAATGAGCAATATTTCAAAAATATAGAGAAGTTATGAGAAAAGAGATCAGTGTAGAACTATTTGCACAGATTGGAAATGTTGGAGCCAGTTACCAGGATGTAAAAGAAATTTTCTCTATTCTTTGGAGAAAAGATTTTACTATAACAAAGAAAATTCTAATATACTGCCTCTTGGGTTCTCAACCAACCAATTCAATTATATAGGACCCATTGTGAAGTGCTTATTATTTTCTGGGAGTGATTAGGACCCAAAGATGTAAAAGGAAAGGTTGATCTGGTAAGAATAGTTATTTGCAGAAAACACAGGCATTTATTATTCAAAGTACTCACCACTTCAGAAAGAGCAGATAAAGCAGCCCCACACCTGAAGCTAGGTCAATACTCACAGGAATAGTTTATTTCTCCTATAAAGTGATCCCATTTTATTAAGATATTTCAATATTTATCTATTGATATATTTATTTGGGTCTTAGATCTCTAACCAGTTGTACCTTATGTGAAATGAACCAGTTTCTTAAATATCACAACCACCCTATTCACAGTTCAAACAGTTCTCCCATATAATACAAACCCTTAAGAACCAGACATGATGGTGCATGCCTATAAAACCAGCACTCGGAAGACTGAAGGAGCAGGACTACAATAGGTTTGAGGCCTGCTTGGGCTATATAGTGAGTTCAAGGCCAACCTGAACTATACCATGAGACCCTGTCTCAAAAAAAAAAAAAAAACCCACATTTTGAACATATTTTAGACTTCATTTCTAGATTTCCTTTTAAATGTTCCTTATTAAAATCTTTGTGAAACTGTAGAGTCAAAATGGATCAAAGATCTTAGTGTTAAAACAGAAACACTAAATCTGCCGGAAGGTAGACTAGGTAGAACATTTGAAGACACAAGTGTAGACAAAGACTTATGAACAAAATCCCAATCTCATGGGAAATATTACCAAAAAATTCAACAACTGGGTCTCATTAAAAAGCTTTAGCACAGCAAGAGAAACCACCAACAGAGTGAAGAGACAACTCAAAGTGTGGGCAAAACATTTTTCCCAGCTGTTCCCCAGACAAAGGACTAAGACCTAGAATATATAAAGAACTCAAACAGAACCCCCAAATTTAAAGATCCAGTCCAAAAATGAGCATCTGAAATTAATAGACACTTCACAGATGAAGTAGAAACAGCAGAAAAATATAGGAAAAAATGTTCAACATCACAGATCATTTGAGAGATGCAAATTAAAATAGTGATGAGATGCCATATCACCATCATCAAGAAATCAACCAATAACGTAGGGCAGGGCAGTGGGGAAAAAGAACCTTCCCACTGCTGGTGAGAATGCACAGTGATGCCACCCCTGTGGAAATCAGTGTGGAGATTCCTCAAAAAACTAGGACTAGAGGTCCCATTGGACCTAGCTATCCCCCTTCTTTGTATCTTCTCCAAAAAAAGTAAAAGCATCATACCACAGTGATATATACACACCCATGTAATAGCTAAATCTTTGAAACAGCCCAAATGCCCATCAATTGATGAATAAAAATTTATGGGTTTTTTAATAGAATGGAGTACTACTCAGCCATAAACAAAGATAATCTTGAGACATTTCTAGGTAAATGGATGCACCTTGAGAACATACTCTTAAGTAAAATAAGTCAGACATATGTGTAAATACCACATTGTTTCTCTGGCGTGACAAACAAAAACTGTAATAAGGATCAAAATGTATGATAGAGATTGTGAAATAAAATATTCAAATGGGAAGGGGAACTAAGCGGGGAGAAAAGTGAGGAAAAAAAGGGAAACTAAGTTTTTGTAAATAGGGAAAGGAAGTGAGGTTGAAGGGAGGAAAGGAGGTGAGGTTGAAGAGAATGGGAAAAAAGAATCAAGATGCATTATGTACAGATACAGATTCCATATGATGTACGTGATATGTACATCTAAAAAGTACCAATATATTTAATTTAAAATATCCATGAAAAACCACAATTACAGTTGAGTTTTTCAAATTCCTTTCTCAGTAAACAAGAACTAGTAGGGAGACAGTAAGAAAGGATGTTTAAGAACTGAACAGAACCGTCAACCAGATTTAATTGACGTTTACAGAGTTTCTACAGTGGTATACACATTATATTCAAATGCACAAGGAACAAGCACAAATCTGTCATGTCTTGATTTAAAACAAGTTTAATAAACTTGAAAGAACTGAAATCATATAAAGTATGTTCTCGGACTATCATGGAATTAGATTAGAAGTAAATTTTAAGAAGTAAATCTCCAAATTCTGAGAATTAAGGAACATCTTAAAATAATCAATGGCCCAAACAGGAAATCTGAAAGAAGACTCTAACCTGAAAAAAGAAAAGAAAAATATATTTCATATTCAAATTCGTGCAACTAAGCTAATATAGTGGTGTATGTCCTTCTAAAAGTGGCTAACCAAATTTACCTGGTTTGGGGTTGCTCGTCTCTCCTGGAGTTAGAGTCTAGGTTCTTCTTATCCCTATCAAAGAATTGAATGAAATGAGCAAAAAGCAGTACAATGTTTATTTGAAACAAAAGTGCAAAGTGAAGTAGAAACTGGCTCTGCAGAGTGAGTTTTTGCCAAGTGTACACCTTAGAGGACCCACCATGAGGAAAGCTGCAATAGCAAACTCTCCAAGACTTCAGTGTGTCTTTTATATTATCCTTGTGTTTCCTTTATATTGTCCTTATGTATCCTTGAGATAACCCACAAGAACTTCTATATACAGGTCCTGAGAGGCAGTGCTGGGATCCCAAGTCTCAGGCTGACGTCAGGTCTGGGCCATGTTATTGATTCAACCTGCTCAGGTTCTCAGGAAAAGCCCATGTGCAGGACTTTGGAAACTGACCGTGATTTTGTAATTAACAGGTCACACTTACTTCCACAGCCAGTTTTGCCACACCCTAATTGCCTATCTCAGTAGTATTTAGAAGAAATGGAAAGAAACAGAATGAAGAGTGGTATAACTGCCAACCTTGAAGGCATGGGGAAATCATTAAAAGAAAAAATTAATTCTATGCATATAAATTTAACAACTTGTATGTTAATTCCTTGAAAATGACAAATTACCAGAACTCACCAAGATGAAATCCATAGCCTGAATGACCCTAAAATACAGATTCCAAAAACAACTTTCAAAATATGAAATGTCTAGATCAATAGATTCATTAAAGAATTGGACCAAATATTTAAAGACAGTGTTTTCCAGGATTATCATACCAGCACAAGACAAAGACAATCCACAAGGAAAATACACACTAATATCCTTTATGAACATAGATGCAAAAATCTCAACAAAATATTAGCATGTTAAATCCAGCAGTTTATAAAAAGAATAACACATCATGACCAGATTGGATCTCTGACAAGAATCTAAGACTAGTTTATATTTGAAAATTAGTCACTGTAATCTACTATTTTAAGGGCCTACAGAGGAAAAGCTTCATGGTCCCATCAATAGACATAGGAAAAACATTTAACAATTCAGTACCCATGAATGATAAAAATGAATAGCAAATGTAAAAATAATAATTCTGCTTTAAGGGAAAAAATGATTTTGTGGGGTTCAGATGTGATCACACTCTTCACTTCTGGTCATCAGAGGCTAGAGTTGTTTCAAGCTGAGCAATAAATTCTAAAAGTTTTATGTGGAAGTCACAGGAATGTCAGGTCAGATACAGAGGCTAGTAGTAAATGGCTATTAAAGACAGCCTGAGATAACTCTGGCTGTTGATCTACAACATTCCTGCTCTACATAACCGTGATATTCTAGTGAGCCATGATCAAATATTGTGCAAGATGTGGATGTGTTCACTCATGAAAGAATATTTTGAGCTGTAATTTTTTGAAAATATTATAAAGCTGCTATTATTTATGCATAAAGGAATGAATATTGATACATGCAACATTCTAAATAAGTCTTATCCTAACAAAGTCTTAAAAATTTGAATACTGCTTGATTCCATTTATATAGTGATACTTGAAATACTAGAGCATAGTATAGCAGTTGACTGGTTGCCAGGGTGAAGGTGGCAGGAGGGCATGACTCTAAAGAGATAGCAGGAAGGAGTTTTTTATGGACAATAAAACTATTCAGTATTCAGACTGCAGTGATTTGCTCTGCAAATCTCTACCTGTGTTAAAATTCATAGAATTGAACACATGTTAATTTTATGTTAATTAAAAAATAAAATTACTTCCTCAGATCTCTAGACACTGATTTTTTATAGACAGTCTTTCAGGCTATCTTTCAAACAAAAATAAAGAATCTCTGTTCTTTTTGGAAGTCTGCATCACTGAACCACATTCTGAAACATGTATAAAATCTCTTCCTAGAACTTTTTAAAAGGTTTAAGATCCTATCTCAACAGTATGAAGAGTTAATCAGCTGATTTTGAATACAAGCTAGATAAAGATAAGAAGTAAATTTTATTGCAGAAATTAAAATCTATATTCTCCAGAAATAAATCATTTTTAAATGAGTTACTTCCATTGATCAGGAAATAAAGAGTAGCTCTTTAAACTTTCATGAGAATTACAGATTTTATACAGCTACTCTTCTATTTTCAAACCCTTTTCATAAAAAGGATAAGCCTCTCATTTTCATTTGCTTCTTTTCAGTTTTCTTTTTCATCTTGCAAGTTTAATGTTCAGAAGAGCAAAGAAGGAACAGGAAGGGTGGTGATGTGGAAAATGGGAATCAGAAACAGCTTTACCATGGAAGCTACCTTTTGTGGATCTACTCTGGGTGAGGCCAGGTGTTCTCATTCACTTTTCTATCTCATAGCATTAAACATAATGTGAAATTAATAGTATAAACCAATGACAGTAAACTTTTTAGAGACTGAGTACCCAAACTGCAACCCAAAACCCACTTATTTATGACAAAGGCCAACACTGCAATTTGCTGACCACCAGTGCAAGAGTGCAACAGGACAATGTTCCACCACACAGCCTTTGCTTCCTCTAAAATAGGCATCTGAGTGCACTTCTTACCTTGTGAAGACTCCTGCTAAAATCACAACCAGGATAATATATTTTGCATGTTATATATCCTTGCTCTTGTTTTCATAAATTCTTGACAAACAACTAAATAAGACATGATACTACAGATTAAAATATGTCAGGGGACAGCACAACATTATAAGAAACTCAGTGTTTTAATTAGAACATCACTCTGCTAAATCTTAGATATTAAAATTCAATTTTTCACAAGAAAATTCAGAGCCAAAATCTTGTGTTAATAAAAACAAATGTATTAAACTCAGCCAGTCCAAGCAAATACATGTATAGCCTTGGTAGCGCACTGATTAGTCTGCCCCTGCAAAAATGAGTCACATTATTGCCTGGTGCTGCTACTCCTTTCTGAGCATGCTCATGACCGCTACGTGCAGTTATCTGATGCTCAGCCTCTGGGGCAATACAGTCAACTTGGCTCAAGTGCTAACAGAGACAGGTCAGTGTGCTACCTGCGGCACACATGCCATAGATTCACCACCACAGGTATAAATCATTTAGAAGAGAGTGCATTCCTTTCATTTAAATGCATACTGCTATTTAATCATTCTGTAAACGGATGAATAAACTTTTACTACATGATATCTCTATTTCATTATTTTCCTTTGTTTAGAAAGTAATATTTTAATATGTACATAAAATACTCTAATTGGTTCTTTCCTAAACTAATCTTCAAATGCTTGTTATTTTTAAAAGAAAAAAGGATTCCTATAGATTTTTTATGAAAGTTCCTTACTGTTGTTGTTATCATTATTATTACTATTATTATTATTATTTTGGTACCAGAAATCAAACTCGGGGCCTCACACTTGCCAGGTAGGCACTGTGCCACTGAGCTACATCCCCAGCCAGGAGAGTTCACTCAGTTGTTTGTTGCTGTTATTTTGTTTTGTTTTGTTTTTTGTACCAGAGATTGAACTCACAACCTTATGCTTACCAGGCAAGCATTTGAACCACTGAGCTAAATCCCCAGCTGTGTTCCTAATTATTTTAAGAAAAAATGCACATACTTAAAGTATTATGATAGAAATGTTTTACTGAATATAAGGCAAAATTAGACTGGCTTTTTAAAAAATTAATCTTATTGGTATACTTTTGACATACATAATGATCACATTTATCATAAAGAATTTGTACCTGTACATATTGTATATCAATTCTTTTTTTTACCTCTTCCTTTCCCTTCGTTTTCTTACTCCCTTTCCAAAATATTGTTTCTACATTCTTCTTTTATTCTCTATTTTATTTTACTTTATTTTTTGTCACATTTAGACGAAAACCCTTGGTTCCCTCAACTAAAACTGGAGGTATGTTCTATAGTCCCATCTAAGAAGTCTTAGTCATGTCTAGCAGGGTAATACAGCTAGAGATTTCTGTATTAAGATAGTGGCACATTGTTAGAAGATGTACCAACTCAAAGAAAAGTGCTAGAAATCCACATATGATATTTCTGGGGGTTTTTGTTTTTTTGTTTTTTTGTGGGTCTTCTTTGTTTTGTTTTGTTTTGTTTTGATACTGGGGACTGAACTCACGACCTCACACTTGTCAGGCAGGCACTTATGCCACTGAGCTAAATCTCCAGCATTCTGACTTATTTTTAAACCATTTTGAAATTGATACATTAGTTGTGATGATAAAAAAAATTTTGTCAACATCTTTTCTCAGAGAAATTATTAGAATCATTTGTAACTGGTAACCAAACATTCTGTAACTGTCTCACTGAATTTTCTTTTTCTGTGCAACATACACTGATGCATGGTAAGTTAGCTTCAGTTCAAGTGGTGGAAGAAAAGGAAAAGTAATAAGCTGTCAAAAGATGTGCTCCAGGAAAAGAAAATTCAAATAGACTATGGCATCATATCCATGTCTTGTTTATATCCTCTGCAAGTTGGGCCTACCTGCAAAGGAAAATGATTAACTCATTCGCAGGGGTGGATAAACTTGTTGATGTTTTAGGTAATAAACGAGGCACTCATTTCAACACAAAAGATCTGGAGTCAATGGGATACCATTTTTGTGATTCACTCTTGGACTATTGTGATCCTGACCGGAGCAAGGTGAGCCAAGCCCATCTGGTGAAACATCAGCTTCCACTTCCTAAGATAACACAGCCAGTCTGTTAACCAGCATTGTCTTTCCCTTCGATATCCCAATGGTGTTCTGGGACTTTTTGGTATTTAATTTCTTAATAACTATCATTCCAGATGTCCATAAATATTTGGATAGTTTAATTAGGAAGTAATTACATAATTGTTTATAATTGTCCCTAGTATTATCAGTGCCTGAAAGAATTAGAAGAAATGGAAAAACGTATGAACATGGAAAAAGTCTTTGAAGACTCAGATTCTTGCCCAAGAGAAATTACACTGGATATAGAATCGAGGTAGGTCAAGACTGTTGAAGTAATGCACTTTGTTGTATTGTTTTACTCTGTTCTTTATAACAATATTAGGATATTATTGTCAATTCTACACTGAAAATTCTCATTATGTGGAAAGAAATTTCTTCCAAGCACATTATTTTGGCCAAATCTCATTAGTATTTCATTTGATTTATTTTTAAATTTAATATGAACATTTCTTTGTACATTGCATAGTATTCACGTTATGTCAGAGACTTACCATGTAGTTTTACACCCTTTCCTTCCCTTTGTCTTCTCTTCTCTCTCTCTCCCTCCTTCTCTTTCTGTTTCTCTCTCACTCTGTCATAGATTTTATTCTTTAAAGCACAACAAAACTGTGTAGAAAGTACGAAGATGTCCCAGATATCTTCCACCATTATCATAGCATAGCCACACCATTAGTAACATTTCCTATAAGAGCACATGCTGCAATTGCTGAGTTTATATTGCTATGTCATTGTCCCCCAAGGTTCTTAGTTTACATGGTTTACTCTTGGTGTGGGCATTCTATGGTTTGGACAAATCTATAATGGCATTTATCAAACTTTCTGGTGTCACATCAGAATGTTTTCATTGCATGGATTCACTCAGTAATCTACCTATCCCTCCCTCCCCCAACCCTTGGTAGCCACAGATCTTTTTAACCTGTCTCCAGTTTGGCCTGCTTTGGAATGTCATTTGGTTGGAATTGTACAGTATGTAATCTTTCCAAACTCTCTTCTTTCAGTTAGCAATATGCATTTAAATTTCTTCTGCATATTTTCATGGCATAATAGCTCTCTGCATTTTAACTGGATATTGTATCATCCAAATAAATCATAGTTTATCTGCTCATCTAATGAAGAACATTTTGGCCAAATTTTAGCAATTCTGAATAAACTTGCTATGAACATCCATGTGCAGGTTTCACAGCGAATGTGTTTTCAATTCCTTTGAGTAAATAACAAAGAGCGTGACTACCAATATGAGAGTATGTTTAGTAATTTCTTTTTTTGGCTTTCAGCAATCTTCTTGCTTTATTTTTAACTTTAATGTGCTAAAAGCATATCCATTATCTTAATTTTAAAGCACACATTGTGTTATTGTTGACCGCCGGTACAGTGTGGAACAAGAGAGCTCTGGGACTTATTCATCTTGTTTAACAGAACTTTTGCATTCATTAATGAGCAGGAACTCAGCCTCTGGTGACCATCATCCATTCTTTGAGTCTATAACTGGGACTATTTCAGATTCCTTACATCAGTAGAATCATGCATTTTTGGTGTTTTTGTAGTCGACTGGCTTATTCCACTTAGTATAAGGTCTTCACAGTTTATCCATCTTGTCACACACTGAAGAATCTTCTTTGTTTATGCTAGAGATTGAAATGTTTTCTTTTTTAAAAGCTGAATGGTATTTCATTGTGTTATGTACCATTATTTTCTATGTCCATTCATTTATTGATAAATTTGTATTTCTTTCCCACGTCATTGTTGTGGTCTGTGCCTAGATCCCCAGTCTCCCAAACAAGTGCATGGCAAAGGCCCAAAGCCCAAATGAATGAGTCCAGTGGTCTGATCTTTGCTCCAAGAGGACCAAAATCCTCCACAGCGTCCCTAACTCTGGTAGCTGAGACAGACTGTCTCTGTGAAGTCCATATTTATTCAAAACAAGGAAAGGGTTGAGTGGGAAATGCAGGAAACCTGAGCAGGACCTTGAGAAGGGTTCAAAGACCCCTCTAAGCAACAGACGATGCTAACTAAGGAGAACTATCCTAGGAGAACTCCTGAGGTATCCGCAGCTGTGGCCTATCTTGCTCCCTGGGGCATCTGGTAGTTCTCAGTCCCGCCATGCCCAGGCCATGCCACAGCCCTGCGCGTGTATTCAGATTCAACAGCTCCAACATATCACGGCTATTGTGATTAGTGTGCCACTAAAACGGGAAAGCTCGCATCTCTTCGGGCTTTCAGTCCTTCTGGATAAATAATCAGAAGTGGAAACTGCGGAGTCATATGATAGTTCTACTTACAGTTTTCTGAGGAACCTCCATACTGTTTTCAATAGCAACTGCACTGTTTTGTGTTCCTACCAACAGTGTGCAAGATTTCCAGTTTTTTATACCCTTACTGATATTTATTTTTTGATTTTTGTTTTGTTTGATAACAGCCGTACTTAAAGATGTGAAGTGATATCTCCTTGTACTTTTGACTTTTATTTCCTTATGGTTAGTGACGTTGAACACATCTTCACACACCTGTTGGCTATTTCTGTGTCTTCCTCGCTGAAATGTGTATTTAGGTCCTTGGTGCATTTTGATTACTGAGATTAAGGTCCTTAAATATTTTAGAGAATAATCCCTTAACAGCTATATGGTTTGTACAGATTTTCTCCTACTCCATATATTACCTTTTCACTCAATTTTTTCTTTTGCTATGCAGAAAGCTGGTGTTTGATGACCCCCCCCATTTATTTTTTGTTTTGTTACTTGTTTTGGTATCATATCCATAAAATCATTGCCAAGATCAGTGTATGAAGCTTTCTCCTGTGTTTCTTCTAGGAACCTTGCATCTTACATCTAACTACAACATTAGTAAATTTTCATTCATTTTTTTGTAGTATGAAGTCTCAATTTCATCTTTTCCCCACTTTTCCAATACCGTTTGTTGGAAGGTAGTGTTTTCACCCCTGTGTGTCCTTGATACCCTCAGACATCGGCTCATCGTAAATGTGAAGAGGCTCCGCATTTTTCCCCATTGGTCCACATGTCTTATCTTTTTGCCAGAGTCAACTTTTTTTGATATCAGCAGTTTTATAATACATTTGAAATCCAAAAGGATGTTATCTGCAGCTTTCTTTCTCAACACTGATTTCACCTGTATAAAAATCAAAACCAGAAAGAGGACTAGAGTGTGAAGGTCCTGCGTTCAATCCACGGCACCAAAAAGATAATGTATTTACCTAAAAGACACTTTATACCTCAATTTAAGAAGCAAAGTAAAATAAAATAAAATCCATTAAAGCTCAATTGTGATTGCAGATGAGAAGTTATCCAAATAAAATTTAAATTCATTTTATAGCTGCTGGAAACAAAATGTGCTTCAAAATAAGTAAATGAACATTTTTTAAAATTTAAAAGCAATGATGCATTTGACTTGTAAAGGCAAATATTTCCCTACAAAGAATATAGTATTTTTTTGTCTTTTTGAGACAGGTCTCACCGTGGAGTTCAGGCAGGCCTTGAGCTCCCTTTGTAGCCCAGGTTGGTTTCAAACTTGCAATAATCCTCCAGCCTCCTGAGTGCTGGGATTACAGGTGTGTGCCACTACTCCCGGCTTAAATAATATGATATTTGCTGATGAAAGAATAAGCCAAATTTCATAATTAAGTAAATTCTGAAGTAGTTCACAAAAGAAAGATAAAATAGCTTTTAAGAGATATTTTATGGGCCGGGTATTTAGCTCAATGGCATAAGTGCCTGCCTTGTAAGTGCATGGTCCTGAGTTCAATCCCCGGTACCACACACACACACAAAAAAAAGAGGTACCTTACATAATTATGAAGTATTTTCTAATTCACTTTCAGTTAGGTACTACAGTAAATATAATAAACTAGCTATATAATTTCTGAAACAAACAGGGAAATATTCAAATAATAAAGAAAAAATATTTTTTAAAATGTATGTGACCATCTTATTCTATATAAAAATCTACTTGTATATATACAGTGTGTGTACATATTTGCTTATTTCTATAATACAACACAAACACTGTTATTTCTCATATATTAATTAGTGTGACTTTTTATTTGCTTTTCTTGTCCTCCTGCATTAGCTAGAACTTCCAGTTTGATACTGAATAGGACTGCTGGGAGGGACCGTTCTTGTTCAGTCCTTGCAGGAAGGCAACCGTTTCTCATCATTAAGTATCAAGGTAGCTGTAGGTTTGGGTAGATGTTTTTACTGAAGTGAGGAAGTTTCCTTCTTTTAGCGTAAGAAACATGGTGTTGGTCAGATCAAGTACATAATAACATCTCAGTGTACTGACAGCCAATACAAGGGATTTTTAAGAACTCCAAGAGAACATCCTCAAAGGCTGGTTATTTACACCCATGAATACACGGCTCACCTGTCACAGCCACAGGAACAAAACTACATATAAAGAGATAAAACTGTTAAATACAACATTTTTAAAACAAACAACTGAATTATGCTGGTAAACTGTATACTTAAGCCTCAAGAGACATAAAATCTATAAAAATTCTTAGTGTATTCTCTCAGTCTGTCTTGAATTGGACCTGAACTACTATTCAGTGAGTGACTTGGACTTGGTTTATTCTCGTATCCATGTGAGTAACTGGGGTTGAGACCTTCTGTCTGTCTGTGTAAATAAATAAATATAGTAGTAAATAAATCAAATATTTAGAAGATGACATCTTTCTGTTGTTTTATCTACTCACATCCCCCTTATTCTATTGTAACATGCTTGTGACATTTAGCTATCTGAGAGGTTTCTCATGAGTAGGTTTTGGATTTGGGGACATTTTTTCCCTGCATCTATTGATAAGATTTTTTCTTTTGGCTTATTAATGTGATGTATTGCACTAACTGATTTTTCAATATTGAGCAGCAGTGGTACCTTTGGAATTAATCCCACTTGGGTTGTGTCATTCTTATTAAATATTGTTGGAGTTAATTTGCTATGATACTATTAAGGATTTTTATCTACTTGATATATTGGTCTGTGGTGTTTCTTTCTT